GGCAGAACAGCCCCAAGATCTTGGCCAAAGCAAGTTGTAAACAGCGCTGGCTCTCCAGCTGGCAGGGGTGAGGCTGCAGAAGCAAAACTGAAAGTGCCACAGGTGCAGGACACCCCCACCCCCTAATTGGGAGAATGTTCAGCCAGACTGCCCAGGGAGGGACCTGGCCCAAGTGGGTTCCCCAACCCTGGAGAACAGTCACTAAAATAACCCAGAAACAGGGCAGACTCCAGTATTGCCCCAAACAACTGTCTTCCAGAATTTGGAATTTGGTATCATCTGGGTATATTTCTCTATACTGTATCTGAGAAAACTTGGGCATTTTAGCTCCTCAGTGAGCCCTTTCAGCAGAACTTCTATAGAAGGGACATAGTGTAGACCTCCGAATGCATCATAATGATCCTCAGGAACTGCTGCACCCTCTAATTTGGAGTCTCAGCCCTAGCCTGATGAACTGTTGCTGACCTTGGCAGATGTGTATGGGTGCATAGGTGGGAGTGAGATCAGGAGTCTGGTGCCAGGGTCAGCCTACAGCACAGAGGAGGGGCTGTGGGTGTTTTAAAAGGATATCTCCAACAGACAGCAAAGGCTAAAGGGCTTGGTGGAGTATGGCTTTGGGGTTGAGGTGTAAGTGGTCAGGAGTCTGCAGTGGAAAGAACTCAAGTAGGGATGACTTAAGAAACTCCTTTAAGATCTGGGAGACACTTTCCTGCCTCCTATATCCAGCATTCCCTAAAGAAAAATCTCAGAACTGCTGAGTTAACAAAGACCCCCAGAGACATGAATCTTATCATCTATATGGTGTGCTGAGAGAGTGGAGATCTCTGTCCCTAGCACCTGGAACTGGAAGGGGCTATAGGTCCTACCTACTGAAAATTATGTGCTCTCTAAATATCTTGGGGCATTGTGGCTTGCTAGTTGGGTGGAGAGAAAAAAAATCTGTCAGAAAATAATGAGAAAAGAGTTGGTGACCATGGAGTGGCCTGTTTGAAGGGAGAAAGAAACTTTACTATTAGCCCAAGTGCCAGGAGCAGATCAGGTTTCCACATTTTCCTGTAGAGGACAGTGTCTGTTAGAGAGGTTTGTCAGCTAGATTATCAGGAGTCTGAGAGCGGTGGCCCCTTGACTTACCTGTGTACACACACACTCGCTCCTGACCTAGCCATCAGGGACCCAGGATAGATCTGTCTTAGCCCGAGCTTGCATGAACCCGGCTATCAGCCTTGTTTGTGGCTTCAGGCTACTGCCAAGCTGGAAACTTGACTTGCAGAGTTTTAAATCAGACACCTTCTGTGGCTTTTTAAAAATAAATTTTGTTTTATTAAAAACATGGAAACTATCCCAGATCCTTTCCAGCGACTATCTTTTGCCTTACCTCCTCATCTTCCAGAAGCACCATGTTTAAATATTCTGGAACTGCAGCTGCTATTTATATCCCTCTTGATGGAGGGTTCTTTACCTGAGCCCATGGGGGACACTGGGTGGGCAGTATGGAGGCCATTAATCCCCCAAAATCTACAGGCTTCCGTGTGCTTTTCTAGAGACAGGGCCTATGGTTGTTTAGGTTCTCAGGCGGGCCATGAGCACCCAGGCCCCTAAAGGTAAGAAGTTCTTGTAGAAAGGTATTTGGGGTCTGATGTGATACGTAGGTGTAATCCTAGCACTACCCCAAATCACAGGTAGAGCTGGGACTGTGTTATTAGGGCCAGAGGGGTTCACAATCTGAGTCTACCTAGCTGGGAAGAAAGGGTAAGGGGGCAGGACCCTTCCAGGCTATGGGCATGGCTTGGAGGGGCCTTGCTGGGCTCCTGAGGAAGTGCCCTGGCACTTGGCAGCCCAGTCTGGATAGTGGCCCAGCGGGGCGCTAGGTGCAGGCCAGCAGTGGGCTTCAGGGCTGCGCCGTGAGGTCCTGATGGACAAAAAGAGAGCAAGGCTGTGCTCTGAGAAGGGGGGCAGGCAGAAAGGGCTGGTTGGCCTCCTGGGAGGGAGAGGGAGCAGGCTCCAGGTGATGGTCACAGATTGGCACAGAAAGAAGCTCCTAGGGGCCACTAATTGGAAAAAAACTACTTTTTTGCTGTAAAATAGCCTCAAGGCAGGTGGGTATGGGGGAGCTCTATCGGTGGAGTTGCTGAGAACCTTCTGGGCACTTGGGAGGGAGCAAGCCTTCCTGGCAGGGCCTCTGGGTCAGATGACCTCATCCTTTCAGTCTCAGCGACTGAGGCTTTATTATTCCAGCCTCTAGGTAGACATTACGCTATGCCCAGCCTAAAGGTTAAAGGAAGAGCTGCCTTTGCCTAGGGGATAAGGGGGAGGGTCCCTGGCTGTTTCTTGTAAGTGTGGGGGCCTCTGCTGGCACCCCTGTGGGCCTTTCTGTCTCCTCCAAGGCTGAGTCCTTCCTGGCATCAGCAGTGGCTGACACAGGTAGGGAGCTCCCCTTCCTGTGGTGAATTTTCTGCCTGCCTACTTGGGGTGCACTGCACGGGGAGCCTTGGGAGAGACTGTTGCAGGAAGAAATAAAGGGAGAGATAGCTCAGTTGAATAAGTGTTTGCCTATCAAGTGCAAGGGCCTGAGTTCAATCCCTAGTAACGAAAAAAAAGAAAGAAAGAAAAGAAAAAGAAACACCGAAATACTGACAGCAACAGAATCTGGGCTCTTCAGGGAATAATTTCATGCACTGCAAAGACATTCCATGCCTGGTGTCCATGACAGATTTTCCCTGGAGTCTGGAGCCAAGGTGGTTCGGTGAGGCTCCCTGGGTTAAACCTGTCCACTAGAACCCCACTGGCCATCTTCTGATTGTGCCTCTTGGAATTAGTCCAGGATGACAGACCAGAAACTGAAATCCACTTAATTAGGAATGGGCACCTAGCAGGGCTGGCTTTTTTTTTTTTTTTTAATGAAACTTCTTTTCCTTTGACTGTTGAAACCACTTGGGAGGTGTGAAGAGGGGAGGGAGTTCGCTGGCTTGTTCACAGAAGAAAGATCAGAAATGGTTCCTTCTCTTTTGGAACTCTCAGCAAAATACAGGGTGGCCTTGGCAAGTGTCTTGAACATTTTCCTTATCAGGTACAGCTTCCCAGTGTGCTCCACTGGCCTCAATCCCCTGGCCTAGGATCCCTGCATAAAACCCTGTCAGCACAGACTCTGTCCACCCTGGTGTCCCACACACTCAACATTGGAATGTGGGGCACTCGCAGCCTCAAGCTCCTTCCCCTTTCCAGGCCTTGGGACTCGAACTTGTCCAAATTCAGTCAGCATGTCAGCATCAGGCTCTGGGACCAGGAGCCACAGGACTTATGTGTCCCCATTCTTCTGGCCAGAGACTCCAGCCGTATCCTCTGGAGTATAGCCATCTACTTAAAAATTCTAATTAGTAATTATCCCTAGGACTTTTTTTGAGAAAAGATGGAGGTATAGATGGATGGGTGGATGGACAGACAGGAGGACAGACAGATAGACCAACAGATAGGTTATTGCATGCTGTTATACAAATAGACTGGCCTTGCAACTTCCTAGTCATCCGAGAGCCATGGGTATGCTAGGTGTGGTCCCCACTGAGCCCTTGGACACTGTGGTATGGTCCTAGTCACTCCAGTGTTGGTGCTGGTTAACATGTCTCTGGGGCCCATATTGGGTCTTCTGACTGAAATCTCAGGTTGGAGAGACTCTCTTCAGCAGGTCTTAGCTCTGCCTGTTTTAGAATCTCAATCTCTATACCAACTGCCTTCTTCTCTCAACTTTTGCTATGCTTTGAACCCAGCAGTGATGGACTATGGGAATATCCCACTTCCCATTGAAGTGTCATGGCTGTGGTCCCAGTTTTGGCCCTGCCTTACTGAGAAAGCAAGCAGCTTAGCATAAGGGTTAGGCCTCCTCTTTGAGGACCTTCTCAGGACCTGGCTTGGCAGTGGATATACGGTGGATACAAGGAGCTCAGGTTCTCATAGTTGAATCTATCTGTGAACAAATGTATGCAAGAAGAGCAGTTTATCTGAAAATGAACTCTAGGTGAGGAGGACAATTTGGGTTCTAGCTGTGGTTCACTCAGGTAGATTAATTGGACTTGGGCTCCAGCCAGTTTGTCTTGAGCATTCATCTTTTTTTATTTTTTGTTTTTTAGTTGAGCATTCATCTTGTACAAAAATGTCCTATAGTACAGGGGAGATAGAGTCATGTGATCACCTACTGGGGAACCCCTAAGGGAAGCAAAACCTGTTCAATCTTGAGACTCAAGGCTGAACAGCGGGGCTGGCGAGATGGCTCAGTGGTCTAAAGCACCTACTTGGAACAAGCTTGGCAAAGCATCAGGGACCGCGGTTTAATCCCCCAGCACCACATGCCAGCCAGCCCCGCCCCCTGGTGGGCTGAGCTGGCCACACACACACACACACACACACACACACAAAAAAAAAATAAATAAAAAAAAAAATGTTAAAAAAAAAAAAAAAGGCTGAACAGCTCTGGGAGGGCCTTGGTTTCGAGGAGGTCTTGCTACCTGATTGCTGGCAGCCCTGCATGTGTACTACCTTAGTATGTTTTCTGTTGCTATAACAAAATACTTGAGAATTGGTTCTTTATGAAGAGAGGATCTTTATTTTGGCTCATGTTTGTGGAAGTCTGAGAGCATGGTGCCATTATCTTTGGGGATTCTGACAAAGGCTTCATTCAGCTTTGACACACAATAAAAAGCGCAAGGGAAGCAGACATGTGCAAAGAGAAGATGGGGTGGGGTGGGAGCATATGTTTATAAGAATCTACTCCCAAGAGCTAATCCATTCCCAGTTTCTTGTGAAAGACATTCATCCCTCTAAAAGGTCCTACATTCCTCTACCTTCCAGTACAACTACATTGGCAACCAGTTTCAATCTGAGTTTTGGTGGGGACAAAGCACATTCAAACCACAGCAAAGGCCTGGGCATCAGCCACTCGTGAGCATCACAGTGGGGCTCCTGGTTTCTATGGGATCCTGAGCAGTGCTCTCTGGGGTGGGGTTGTCCAGGTTCTCCGAGCCAGACCCGAGCCACACCCTGGAGGAGCGTGTAGTGCACTGGTACTTCAGCCAGCTGGACAGCAACAGCAGCAATGACATCAACAAGCGGGAAATGAAGCCCTTCAAGCGCTATGTGAAGAAGAAAGCCAAGCCCAAGAAATGTGCCCGACGTTTCACTGACTATTGTGATCTGAACAAGGACAAGGTCATCTCCCTACCTGAGCTGAAGGGCTGCCTGGGGGTCAGCAAAGAAGGTGAGTGTTGTCCCCTGTGCTCCCTTCCCACCAAGACACAGGGACCAGTGGCTGTCCCAGGAAAGGAGTACTTGATACTCAAAAGCTCGTCCCTGGGGCTGTACTGTGCTTTATACTAAATGCCTGCTGTTTCAGTTACTCTTCTCATTGCTGGGACAAAATACCTAACACCCAAAATTAAAGAAGGAAGGGTTTATTTAGTTCATAGTTATTGGAGGTTTCAGTCCTTACTCAGCTAGCTCTAAGGCAGAGTGGCACATGGAAGAGGGTAGTCATTCATGGTGGCTGAAGACAGCTAACAGCGAAGGGAGGGGCATGAGCTGTGGCTTCTAGCAAGCTTCTCTTCCTTCCTTACATTGTAATGCAGATTAGCCACCCTAGGGCAGGGGTAGTACTCACACCCATAATTCTCACATTGGTCATGCATTAATCACAAACTCTGCAAGCCACCCCATGATAGAATGAAGCTTTAGGGGGACAACTAGATGCAAACCATAACATTTGCTACAGCGGTGGCAATGACTGAGAAGGCTTCTGTCCTTATATAGTCCATAGCAGAGGCAGACATTAAGTAAGCATCCACATAGATTATAATAAGTGCTGTGAGAATGTATTTGCTGGGGTTGGCAGCAGTAACAGCTAGGAAGGCCTATACTTGGGGAACAGAAGTGGAAATGTTTGTCCTGCTTGTGGTACAATGAAGTGTGGCTTCAGGTTATGGTGGAAAGAGGTGAGAGGGTGTGGAGAAGGAACAGGATGGCTCCATGTCCTCAGTCTGGGATGGAGGCCTCATTAGTATGTGACCTCCACAGTTACCTGGGGTCATCCCTATCCCCCGTCAATGAGGTCAAGGTAACAGAGTGGCAAATGGAAGCAAGTTTCCTGGGACAGTCCTGGAAATGACACATTACTTCTCACCTTTCACTGGCTGGCTGGAACTCAGGCTCTATAGCACACTGGCTGTAGAGGTGACAAGAGGCAGGGTGAGGTTGGAGATCTTTTAGTCCAGCTCAAAGGCATTATAAGGATGCTGTGAAGCTGTTGGAAGGGTTCAGTTGGAGAAATGATGGGCTCAGTTTCACTTTAGAAAATTATTCTGGTTGCAGTGTGGCAAATGGCTTGGAAATGTACAAGGTAGAGTCGCCCAAGAGGAGAAGTCTCCGTGGGAAGTGAGAGAAGGACAAGTCAGGAAAGTGAGGGCATGGGAAGTGGATGGGTTGGTGACTAAGTGAGACATGGGAGGAAGCACAGGAGGCATAGGTGGGTGGGAGAGGAACAGAGTGTGGCTCGGCAGGGCAGCCACATCTGTAGCTACATGGACGTAGGGCAGGAGGAGGCCTGAGCTAAAGAGATCAATCTGGCTGCAGCTGACCATTGGAAAGGAAGGCTTTGGAGAAGCCAAGATCACTAGGGGAGAGTCAGCAGAAGATGATGGAGGTGCTGGTCCTTCTTCCTTCGTGGTTAATGTGAACCCACAGTGGGAGGCAGAGGTGGGCGGGTCCCCACAGGAGTCCTGTTTTAGCGGCTGCTCCTCCACAGCTGACCAGGATCTGCTGTGGCTCTCGGCCAACTGGCCTGTGAGCCTGGCCAGATGGACTGTCTGATGAGGTGGCCTCGCCATCTCCACAGAACTCTGAGCCTCCGGCACATGGCCCCAGCGCCACCTCTGCAGCAGACAAGCTCTTGCACCGTGTGTGTGTGTGTGTGTGTGTGTGTGTGTGTGTGTGTGTGTGTATTACTCCATGATTCTGTGTTTAGCTTCTTCACCCAGATGGTGAAAGTGATAAAGTGATGATGCTGTCTTCCTTGGAGGGCCGTGGTGCTGATTAAATGAGACCCTGCATGAGGGCATTTACTATAGTGATCTCCTGTCACAATGTCACTTATTGTCTCATGTCTACTGAAGAGACAGTGGAAGAGCTCAGTCGAAGCTGAGTAAGGCTACTTTTTACAAGATTATTTCTTCTCTCCACAAAACTTACCATGCTGTATTGCAGTTCCATTGCCTAATGCCCCCTTGTGCCTTGGGTGTGAGCTACTCAACCCTTGGCCAAGTACAAGTTCCTGAAACCTTTGTCAAATGAATGAATAAGCAACTGAACCAACAGCCGAGGGCTACTCCATGTAATAGCATCGTAGCCAGACCCACTTGGAGTCTGGACTCCCTTGCGAGGGCCAGGCACAAGCTCAGGGTTGGGAAGAGGCGGGGCTCCAGGTAAGAGCAGAGGCCCCGAAGGCAGAGGGACCTGGCTCTCACACCAGCTCTGCCACTTATTAGCTCAGTAATCTCTGACAAATTCCCTGAATTTCCTGAGCCTCCATTTCCTCCTCTGCAAAACCGAGATATTGGTATTCAGCTCATTAATCTGCTGTGAGGCTTGGACAAGATAAGGTGTGCAAGAAGGCAGCCGGTACCTGGTGCCAGTGAGTGCCTGAAAGAAACCAGTGGCAGAAAAGTAACCGGCCCGGGGGCAGGCTTCCCCAGTCCCTCTGCTTTGGGAACACAGCAGAAAAATGTCACTTGGGTCCCTGGCTTGCTGCTACTCCAGAGAGAGGAGCCCAGGCATTGGCCATCTGGTGTCATGGTGCCCTCTGGTGGACCTAGAGGGGCTTGGAGGAAGAGGAGCTTGGGGATGAAGATAGCTTTGCACCTTGTCTCAGTTACTCTGCTCTCATTGCTGGGACAAAATACCCAACACCCAAAATTAAGGAAGGAGAGGGTTATGCAGCTCACAGTTTGTGGAGGTTTCAGTCCATACTCGGCTGGCTCCGAGGCAGAGTGGCGCGTGGCAGAGGGCAGCCGTGTATGATAGCGGAAGACAGTAAAAAACAACAAGAGCCAGAAAGGAGGAGCAGCAGAGAGTAAGCCTTTCTTCCTTCTTTATATTGTATGCAGGCTCCTGCCCCAGGGCGGGTGTAGCACTCACACCCACGATCCCAGCATTGGACTGTGAATCAATAAAAAACTCTAAAGCCTGTCCCCATGACTGCATGAGGCTTTGGGGGACAACCAAAGCCTGGTACCTGATGAGCCAACATTTGGAAATTCCGTGTGAACACACGCAGTGAGATGTCTCAATAGAGAGCTGAATTTCTGCCCTGCATGAAAAGCCAGACATCTCAAGAGCTGTGGCCTCTCCCTTAACTGGAATTTTCCTTCATAATGTACCTTTCTGGGATTATCATCACCATCCTGTGAGGCAAGCAGGGTGGGGGCTGCTGCCTCTGGGTTTTAGAAATGCCAGTTTTTCCTTTTAATTGAGATGCCACCTGCCCCTGGCCTTGGCCTTTTTCTCCCCTTGCCCTCTCTTGAGGGTCCCCAGTGTGGCACTGGAGGCAGAAAGCCAGGTCTGAGTGTGCCACTTTACACAAAGCTGTACCATCCTGGACAGGCCACTCAAAGCATTTCATAGCCTCAGTTTTTCATCTAAGATGGGGATAATTTTGTCCCCACCCAGTGGGGTTGCCTTGAGGACCCGTCTTTGCTGACCTTGGCTGCCTAGCTATCTCCCAGATCTCCACAGCTCTGCTCCTTTCCAGCTGACTGCCTGCTTTGGGCTCATCCCTATCTTTCTGCATCTGTGTCCCTATCTGCAGAATTGGCCATACCAACACCTACCCCCTGTCCACTCCGACTCCTGTCTCTCCTTCTCTGGCCCTAAGCACTGTGGGGGATGCTGAGCTGTGAGATCTCACAACCCACGGGTGGGCTTGCATTCTGCAGCACTGTGCTTCTCCTGGCCCCTTCTCCCCATGAAGCCTCAGCATAGTCTCAGTCAAGAAGCGGAAGGGAAGCCCTGCAGCTGTGGCCCTGGTCGCCATCCTCTGGACTGACCCGGAGGGGCTCAGAGCGGTGCCCAGCACAGCACAGAGCTGGCCCAGCTGGCATGCAGTGCTCCCCAGCATGGCCAGGTGCCAGCAACGCTGACCCCCGAGCCTCCTGTCTGTCACTCGCTGCTCTGAGCCTGTCGCTCCAGGCTCCAGATGTGTCCTGTGAAGTCTGGGCTCCTCTTACCTCTGACATTCCACCCTTTGGAGGACCAGGACCAGGAAGTTACGCAAGTGCTCTTCTGTCCACCAAAGCCTTTCTTGGTTAATAGCTGTGGGGATTTACAGGAGGTGCCCCAGCAGAGCAAGAAGCATGGTCACCCAACTTCTGGCTCCTTCCCAAGTCTCCGTCTTCATTCTGGGGGCCAGCAGGAGTGGGGTCCAGGTACAGGAGAAGCTTTACCTGCATCCCTGGCCAAGACCACTCAGTGTCACGTGTTCCTGTCTGTTGCAGGTGGTAGCCTTGGCAGCTTCCCCCAGGGAAAACGAGCAGGCACAAACCCATTCAGTAAGTTGCCTTCTTTCTGGGCTCCCCTCTTTCACCTGTGAACCCCCCTGATGGAGCTATGGCAGTGCATCGTGGGGGAAGCAACTGTCCATGGTGCTTCGATGCCCATTTTCAATGTGTGTTGCTAAGATCACAAAAAAAAAGGAGTTAGCATCCAGTTGGCGCCATCCCTGCTTATCAACACACATGCTGTGTCCTCCCCAGCCTGGGTTGGAAGGCGACTTATGCAGAGTGCACCTCACCCTGTGCTTGCTGGGCAAAGCCTAGGTCTCCAGGGGTCAAACTGGTTCCTGGGGCCACTGAGCTTAGTGTGGGAAAGGATGGACTGGTATAGTGTGCTTATCTACAAGCCTAGGCAACCCTGCCCACCATGCCTGCATCTAACCAAAGGATGAGAAAGCTGTTCTTGGGGGGTGGGGGGCTGATTTATGTAGCCAGATTTCTCTACACCCAGGTCTTCTTGCTCACACCTGTCTTGCTTGTTGTCCTCCCCTTCCTCCTCTCAGTAGGACGTCTCGTCTAAGGAGCAGAAAATCAAAGGGCAATAGAAAGTCCCCGGAGATGGATGGACCACCAGACACCTAGCCACAGCCCATGTAACATAAGTGGTGCCCACCGTGTTTGCACTTTTAATAACTCTTCTTCGTGTGTTTTGTTTCTGGTTTCATTTGTAAACACCAACGCCCAACAGCACAGTGGGAACAGGCAAGGGAAGAAGGACTGTGCTCTCATCTTGTAAGGTTTTGGATCTGCTACTGACGACTTTTAGGTGATTGGGGGGGGGGGGGTATTGGTGGGATGGAGAAGAAAGAGATTTATATACTGTATATAAATATATATGTAAATTGTATAGTTCTTTTGTACAGGCTTTGGCATTGTTGTTTGTTCTCTCCCCTCGCTCTCCCTGATGTGGGTTGTGGGCACTCCGGCCCCGTGGTCCTGCTTTCTAGAACCTAGGACTCTGTGTACAACCTGCCTGGACTCCACTTGGAGCCTAACTGCTGTGTGTGCCTCTATGGGGACCCTGTGACAGTACTGCAGACTTCATCAGTTCACTTCCAGTAGATGAGTGTGCTGCCTGGGCCACTGGCTGTCCCAGGTAGCAAGTTATTTGCAGCCTGGGCCTTCAGAGAAGATTGGGTTGGTGAGGAGTGGACATTGCCTTCCAGAGAGAAGCGGATCCCAGATCACAGGCTCCAGTGTTCAAATGCCCAGGGTTCCTCCTGTCAAGATGCCTGGGGTGCCAGGGCCAGTGGCTACCCTAGTGTCTCAGTGACTAACTAATCCCCAAAGGATTTCTGTAAAATCAGTTTGGCACCTACTCTTTCCAGGGTATGAGAAGGGAGGCAGAGAAGAAAAAGACACAGGAGTGCTCTTCTATTTGATATCTGAGCAGCACAGGGGGACAGGAAGCCTGGCTGGAGGAAGAAGGTTCTAGTGCTCCTGCAAGCCCACCAGTGAGGCTTCCTGACTACTAGTCTCTCAGAACTTGAGTCAGACTGCGTTTCTACTTTTTGTTCTCCATCTCACACTCCTCTCTTCAGAGGCCAGCACAGTGAACTTGAGGGAGGAGCTGAGCCCCTCACCCAGTTGGTAATTCATTTGTTTCATTGTGTTAAAGCCCAGAACCAGACTTCTCCTATTCCTTCAACTTTTCTTACAGATTTTGAGGCCCTGAGGCCAGTTCCAGAAGTAAGACTGAGCTTGACTTTTCTGCTTCTGCTTTTACCAGAAGGACAGGACTAATGGCCTAACTCTGAGGAAATCTTGGCCTAACTTTCTACAGGGAGTTACTGAGCTTCCAGTGTGGGCAGCCTAGTTTTTGGGAAAGATGTACATCTTTCATCTTCCTCTGCCCAGGTGATGTGCTCATCCAGATGGCTGTCAGAGGGTACACGTGCTACCAGGGTAGCCATGTGGCCGTGAGGGAGGACAGGCAGCACAGGATGGGGGCCCATGCCAGTGGATCTTAGCAGTCTAGCCCCAACTTGTATTCCATCCCAGAACCCCTATACGTACATCCACTGTGCTGTTGGTCTCATAAGCTCTGCCTTGGTAGGAGGGACATGGCCTTCTCAGGACTTGGCCTGCTGGAGTCTCAGACTAGAGAAGGTTCCTGCCATCCTGGAGGAAGTCATAGAGCCTGTCATGGAGATGACTGGTGGAACCATCGTGACGTGCTGAGGTGGAAGAGAAGAGGCATATCCACACAGAGAAGTCACTTCCTTGAAGGATTTCGGCCTCTTCCCCAGGCATCTTGTCTCTCCCATATGTGCGTGGGCTGTGTTGTGCAGTTTTTCCTTTGGGAGGAAGGGAGGGAGGGAGGGAAGGAGAGAGGGATACTATTTGTAGCTTGTTTTATAAAAAAAAAAAAAAAAAAGAAATAAAGATGGGTAAACCTTGGCAGTTGCTACCTCTCTCCTTGGGTGGCTTCCTCTGACAGAAGGCTTCATTCCTAGAAGGCTTCATAGATTCCCAGGCCTGTGTGCTTACGGATCCTGTGAAGTCAGATTGCTGTTAAGGAGGCCCCGGCAGGGAGCTCGGAGCGGCCACCAGGTGGTGTATGGGGGAGGATGAGCCTGAGGCCTGCAGGGCCCTTGGGTGCCTGCCCCTGTGCACTCTCGGCAACCTCTCTCTAACAGTCCCCCATGCAGCTGTCCCCTGGGACTGCACAGAATGGTGCTGGCAGAAGCTTTGGGGGCAGCCTGTGCCCAGGTTCAGGCTGCAGGAGTGGGTGCTTGGCTGTCCTCAGGTGTAGGCCTTAGCTGGGCAGCAGGTGGGAAACACAGGTGGTGCCTTAGACATTGGGCGGACAGATTTGTGCTGATGCAGAGTAGAGGACTCCTGGATAGGACTGACTGGAGGATGGGGGGCCTAGACTTTTTTCTGGGTGATTGCTGTCCCTGGAGGAGTCTATACTTTCAAACCTTTTCCAGATTCCTTTAGCAATACCCTGGGCCATTGTTCTCCCTTTACAAAACTCTTCAGCCTCTTCCCTGGAGGCCCATTGCTGGGAAAGGGTCTAAGCCCTGTGTGTGTGTTCACAAAGCTCCCCACCCTCAGGGCTAGTCCTTTCTCCCCTCGCCCGCTCCTGCTTCTGAAGAAAGGACAGCCAGCTTGCTTCCCAACTCACAAGTACCATACACTGCCTGCTCCATCTGCAGTCCCTGTCACATGTAAGGTCACCACTGGGGAGTTACTGTCCCCTTTTCTGTGTGAATTCAGACCCAGGAATTCAGTGGCTTGTTTGGGACCCTCCATGTGGGAAAGGCAGCATAGGAGTCACCATCAGACATTCTAGATCCAGTCTGGAGTTCTGCCCAAATCCATACCCCCTCGAGGGGCCAGAGCAGCACCTGCTCTGCCCTGGGCTGCTCGGATTTAGGGCTGCACCCACAGGGACAGCAGTCCTGCTCTGTGTGGTCGAGGGGCTTATTAAATGTCACTTCCCTGCAGAGGCCCATCATCACAGGCTTCTGCGAGGGGGCAAGGGCTGGGTGGAAGAGGAAGGCATTTGTCCCTGCAAGACTGCTGGGAGGCTTCTTGGACTGATCCTTCTCCAAGATAGGAAGACCTGGAGCCAGCGGAGAAAAGCACACCATAGATCCACTCTACTTCCCTTTCCCTGGGAGAAATTGAGGCTGCTGGTGGGTTCACTGTGAGCCACAGTCCACCTCCCCATGCAAGGGAAGACTGGCGACATTTCAGGGGTGACTGATGCTGAGGCTAGGTGTCTTTTCAGGGCCATTGTACTGCCCACAGAGGAGCGACGATGGGTCAGTTCCAAGGTGGTGGGCAGCTGCCAGCACCAACTTCTTTGTAAAAAGACAAAAGCAGAGAAATAATCATGAAGCCACACGTCTGGCCCTGTAGCCCCAACTTCCAAATGACCTGCAAGACCAGAGATACTCACCAAGGAGGGTGAAGAGATCTTTTCATGCAGTGCCGAGCACACCAAGCCTACACCCTAGGGTCTGGGTCACTTGTCCCTTGTGCAGTTTCATCAATCAATAGGGTGAAGGGTGTGACCACGGTTGCACGCCTGCTCCTTCCTACTCAACGCCTGTGCTACATGCAGCCCGGGCATCTCATCATTTTTTGTCAAATCTAGGCAGAGCACTCTCGGCAGTTCCCTTCTCCTCTATGCCACCCCCAACTGACAGCACCACTTCCTGCTCTGTACCACCCTTTCTTTTAGTGGGGCATACACCCCTTTGCCTGTATCCTAGCCAAACTGCTGACTGGCTAAAGGTCAGGGATCCTGTCTCTGCCAGACCAGGCCTGTCTGCAATGATAAGGTCACCCCAGTAATCACCCTTGATAGGGACACTGCATACCTGGAGGTGGCTTTTCTACAAGGTGATGAGCAGTTGCCAAATTGTTCATCATAGTCAGTAACAGGATTTGCTGCAGTGGCACAGCACCCCCCCCATCTAGCGTGCCTTCCTGCACAAAGCTCCAACCTAGCTGCTGTTTGTCCGCTGGGCTCTTCTCCACATTGTCCTCAGGGACTCGAGCAGAGGGAGGTTCCATCCTCCACAATGTGGAGGTAGAGAAAAAGGAACATGAAAAATTGCACCCTGGTCTGCGTCTGAAGGTGACATGTGTCGTGTTGCTCACACTTCAGTGACTAAAGCAAATCCGGGGCCCCCCCTCCCTCCATGGCAGCTGATTAAACACCCAGAAATAGAGTCAGAAATATTTTGTGAACTACCCTGCAACATTAACAACATGCATCATCTCTGCATTTTCTATCTTGACTTAAAATTGGTGGTTTTTACATGGCGTAAGAATAAAGAGAGCTGCTTCTCCTGGTTCGTGTGGTGCACTTTATCTGCACGGTTTCTGACAGCTCTGTCACACTGGGTATAAATACTGTTTTTTCCATCTCAGCAAAAAGTTCAAGGTGGATGCAAGCCTCTCCTCCTGTCAGGTTTCCGTCTCCCACCAGGGAGCAACCTCTTCGGTCTCGTAGGCCCTGTAGGAACTCTGTCATCCTCCCATATTGTTGAAGTGTGGAAAATTTGGAGAAGGAAGAGGAGGAACTGGTAACTTCAGAGGAAAGCAGTTGGTTGAGGAATTTCAGTTCCTCGAGTGGAACTTAGCTCCTCTGGAGCCATCACTTCCGGCTCTGCCCTGTTGCCTCATCCTTCCACTGTGCAGCAGACTCCTTTGTGACAACCCAGGCTGCTTGCATACCTTCCTGGCCACTTCAGTTGCTTATGAGCTCGGATCTACATGATCACGAAGCTTCACCTCTGATTTGCTTTGGCTCTTTCTCCCCTCTCTGTCCTGGTCCCAGCGCTTCCTCATTCCATGACTGCCAGAAAGCGTGCAGCAGGGCTGTGACTGGGCTCTGAGGCAGTTCACAACTCAGCTCTTCTGAGGTGATGGGGTCTGGAGGAAGGGAAGGAAAACCACGAGGGCTGCAGCCCTCTCTGTTCACTGTAGCAGCTCTGATTATCACTGGCTTGCTTTTCACATGCAGGTGCCCGTGTGCCGGTCCCTGGTGAGGCACACATCAGGTCCTGGGGCATAGCCTCTGCATCATGCAGGGGGCCTTGATGTGGGCGGTGCTCTGGCTTGACCCCTTCTGTACTTGCCAACAGTAATACACCTCATACCCACTTTGTTCCAGGGCTTTAGCC